ACGTGTGCCAGCCAGGCCACACAGGAGTCTCTCTCAGCTCATTCCATGCGGCAGACGTGCACAAACACTCACTCGCAGGAATCAGCGGCAACCCGTCAGTGGGACACCTCGTGGGAGCTTAGCGAGTGCTGAGCACCATTTCCAGAGTCCCGTGCGTGCGTGAATTCTTTCAATCCTGCCGCTGCTACCGAGGGAGGCTCCGCCGTCATCCCTGTCCAACGCGTGGGGAATGGGGAGGCCGAGGGACTTGTCCACGGTCGCCAAGCTCAGAGACAAACCCAGGTGGCCCATCAGGTGCCGTGCAGCCCCCGCTCTCCAGACGTGTCCTCACTCCAAGGCCGGCCGCAGTGTGCCCCCGGCCCCCGGCCCCCGCCACGTGCGCCCCAGAAGGCCCGCGGGCCGAGTCAGCAGTGGGTGTGCGACGGCGGTGGGTGCGCGGCGGCGGTGGGTGCGTGGCGGCGGTGGGTGCGTGGCGGCGGTGGGTGCGCGGCGGCGGTGGTGCGCGGCGGCTTGCCACAGCTCGAAAAGCTCCAGCCAAGCGGCTGCCCCGGGGACTGGCAGTGAAACCGCAGCAACTAGGAAGGCGCTGGTTTCTCTCCAAGAGCTAAAGCACTAAAACAAAGTCATAAACACAATTACACCGTCTCCTGCCATAAATTAGGACGTTATGAAGCGCCGTGATCGATTCCCACTCATGCCCAGCCCTGTAAGACGGCCCAACCCCATGGGCCCGACCGAAAGGGTGATTTATGGGCGCTGTTGTCAGCTCCTTGCTGTGGGGGTGGGGCGCGCCCGAGCCCCGAGGAGTCCAGGGCCCAGCGCCAGGGGCGGACCCACGGGCCACAGGCGTGCTCCAGGGCCGGCTGCGCTGCCCGCTGAGCAGGACATCCCTGGACAGCTCGCCCCAGACAGATAGGCACCCTGCTCCCTCTCCCTGTCCCCTTGGTTCAGGGGTTCCACAGAGGCTCTGGAGTCCAGGTGCCCAGCAGTGCGCCCCCACAGTGCTCGCCCCCCAGGGCTGGGAGGAAGGGCCCAGGCCCCAGGCTCTTGGAGCCTCATTCTAATTAGAGCCACAAACACACACACGCACACACCAAGTGTCTTGGGGAAAATACGGGCTGCTCAGGGTGGGGTGTGGTGGGAGGGTCAGGAGGGCTGTGGCCAGGGAGGGAGGTGACCTCAGATCAGGGATGTTGGTGACATCCCAGGGTGCAGGGAGGCTGGTGCAGGCTGCAGGAGCAGCAGGGACGTAGGCCACCATGTTTAAGGATCGGCCACGAGCTCTGGAGCAGAGTGAATGAAGAGGGAGGAGGACGGGAAGCCAGAAAGCAAAGTGGGTGTGTGTGCCAGGACCACACAGGGACTTGGGCTTCTGACAGTGGGACAGCGGCTTGGGTCGGTGTGAGCAGGGCAGCGACGTGACCCAGCGTGTGTTTGGAAGAACCACCATGCAGAAGCATGTTGAGGCAGAAAGCTGGCTGGCAGGCTACTGCACCTGTCCCAGCAAGAGAGGACTGGGGTGGGCAGGGGTCTCCCAGGCTCTGCAGACAGCAGAACACCGAGCCCAATGCCAGATCTTCAAGGCATGGCTGGGGCTCTGGGGGACAGGGGAGGTGGCCTTCTGCACTGAGCTCTCCAGCACAGGGCTCCCTCCTGGCCTGGCCAGCATGGGGGCTGGGAGGGGGCAGGCCAGGGAGCCCTATCCTGAGCCCCTCCTAGACCTGCCCTCAGCTGGGTGCCAGCCACACCCCTTCCTCCAAGCCGTCTCCAGGGACTCAAGGCCCTCCCAAGACGGTGGCGGGCCGGAGTTGCTGGGACCTGGGCAGTGCTGGGCCTCACAGGTGCCCCAGGTCTGCAGCCAGGAAAAGAGGGAGAAGATGGCCTATGGCAGCCCCACGGCACCACCACCCCCATTCCCGGCCCTTCACTCTCTCACCTCTGTGGTATCTGTGAAGTGGGGGAGCCAGGGAGAGCCAGGGGCCTGCAGGAGGGACGGGGTGGGGGTCAAGTAAAGGATAAAGTGAACGCACAGCCGGTGTGCAGACGTGCTGAGTGATTGCGGCCGCGTCCCCGTGCATGCCCCTGCTGTGCGTGCCAGGGTGCAGCTAGCTGGGACCCCGGGCTCCCCAGTCCCTGGCCCTGCACCTAGAACCCCCCAGGTCCCGCAGCCCAGGTGAGTCCAAGACAGTCTGCAGTTCCAGTTGCCCTGGGACCCTACCAGGGCCCTAGGATGTCCCGGGAAGAGGTCCCGCCCCACCTGCAGACGCCGATCAGGGGGGGCCCCAGGGCACCACGAGCTGCTTCTCCGGCGGGGGGCTCCCTCCCCTGGATCCCCGGCCTCAGCATGCCGCCCCCCACCCCCGCCTGTCTCCCACCCAAGGGGCCAGGGCCATCAGCAGGTCTAGAGCCGGGATCAAGGCTGAGCAGGTCCTGCAAAAACCTCCCTTGAAAGACTCTTTTTCAAGATTTTCTTTTGAAAACAAATTCATAACCACATCACACAGGAACCCCGTCGCCTTGGGTTTGATCACCAGCCGCCTGGGGCCCTCTCGCTAGCTGTTACTCTAATTGCTTTTTTCTCCTCGGAGGGCCACGTGCGTCGTCTGTGGTTATTAATCTGGTGAGTCGAGGCCAGGAACAAGGGCCCTTTTGTCGGCCCTGTCTTTTCAGTCTCTATCAGATTGCAAGGAACCGTGAGGTCTGAGATCCCCAAAACTGATCTGCCCCCACAGCTCCGGGGAACGGCTCCCGGTCCCTGCGCGGGGCTACCTTCCCCAGGGCCCCCACCAGGTGGATGCACCTCTCTATAGCTGGGGTGTGGCCACGCAGCCACCCCAGCCCACTGAGCCATCACAGTCCTACATGTGAGCCGGAGAAAGGCTCCCTGTGCTCAAGCAAAGGGAGGACGTGGGACAAGGCCACTCTGGGGGCCATCTCTCCAAAAAGTGACAAAGCGGGGCCCAAGGCCAAGCAGGACCTACCTGCCCTCACCCTCGCTCGGGCCCTCCAAAGCCCACAGGCCCCAGGACCACCTGACACCCTGCCCCAGAGCAGAAGAGTGTCCAACTCCACCGGCCATCAAGGGAGCAGAGGCTACCACAGGGCCTGGACACTGGGCAGGACACCCTCGGGCTGCTCAGAGCCAGCAGCGGAGCCCACGGCAGCCAGGGGTGGGAAAGGGGTAGCACTAAGGTCAGTTGCCAAGTCCCAGAGGGGGCATAGCTCTGGGGTAGGAGGTAGGAGGCAGGGGCCCAGAGGGGCCCGCAAGGCCTGGGCCACCCAGCAGCAGGCGCTACACCTCTGCCTGCCCCCTGCCGGCCCGCAGGATGGTGCCGCACCCCCTCACCCCTGCCGCATCCCAACCACACTGCTGTTTCCTTTTTGTCCAAGAACACCCTATAAAGGCTTCCATACCCACTTGCACATCTGGGGGCCTCCACAGATGTTCAAGTGCTGCTGAGTGAAAATTTATGAAACCACAAATTCTCTTCTGTGATATATTTGCTGCTTTAATTAATGCCAAACCAATTGATCCCTGAGCTGGGGCCTGCACCGCTAGATGACACGGAGCCACGCTGGGACATGCCACCTTCAATGCCACTGGTGTGCAGGGCCCGGGAAGCCCAGGTGAATCCTGCCCCAGGGGTCAGAAGAGGGGTGGGGCTTAAGTGTGATGGCAAGCAAGTCCCACCACCCCATGTCCCCTCCTGCCTTGCTCTCTGTGAGCATCCACCCAGCCTTCTGAGCTCCATCCACTGGGATCCCCACTCTCACCCCCTCCCAGGACCGCTTGCTTTAGCCCTGACCCCTCCCCACCTCACCCTCTTGTCTTCCCAGCATGGAAGCCCAGGGGCGGGCGTGCAGGGGTGACATGGAAGAGGCAGGGGTCCTAGTTGGTGACCAAGAGCAAGATCTTCTCCTCCAGGAGCCTCGGGGTCTGTGTCTGCAGTTTGGGGTATTGGTCTAGTCTGTGGTCTCCAAACAGCTTTACAGAGAACAAGAGAGTCCAATAGTCATCAGGGGATGGGGGTGGTGAGCTTGGGGGGGTCAGAGAGCTGAGTGGCCTCCAGGCCCCTCCCCAGCCAAACAGAGAAACCCCTGCACCACTTCCCTTTATTGCCTGGGTTCCCACGTCAGATTTACCTGGGAAAATAGAGAAGCAGCCCCCCTGGGCCTGGGCGATGGGGTGACGGGACCTCGGACAAGCAGCTGCCCCAGGGCCTGACCCCCCAGTGCCACCCCAGTCTGAGCTATACCTCCTCTCCAGATCCAGCAGCTGCCTGGACCCTGTCCACCGGCTCACCACTCACAGGCCCCACAGCCCCTGCTGGCCTACTTTCTGTGAGCAGGTGCCTCTCAGCAGCGCCAGACCCAGGGTGCACCCTGACTCCCCACACCTCCCTGGGCTAGTTTTGGCCTCATGCTCCTGGACGTCCAACAGCCTCTACTGGGAATGTACCTGTTGGCCCCAGTCTACATGGCCCCCACCTTTGTTTCTGGTTCTGCAGGGTGACCCTATCTGTTCACCATGGGCAACTCCAGTGCTCAGAGCAGGGCAGGCTTTTGATAAAGCGGTGTTGGGTCATGTGGCCAGAAGGAGCGTCCCAGCCTGACCCCTGGGAGATTGGTGTAGAGGGGGTCCTGACTTTCTGGCTCCCTGGGAAGACCAGCTGCTGGTAGGGGGACAGAGGGGCAGACAGAGGACAGACCCTACGACCCTCCAGCACTTCCCAGGGAGAATAATCTGTTCCACTTGCAGAAGGCAGTGAAGGGGAAGGTCTCCCTGTACCCTCGTGTCTCCCAAGCACAAACACACACAGGGGGCCACTGCCATGCGGATGCACATTCCCTGCACGCAGGTGTGCACAGCTCACACCTGCAGGCACCTCCCCTCCCCCAACCCCCCCCCCCCCCCGCCGGCCGCCAAGCCCAGGCCCCAAGGCCAGCTGCTCACCTGGGCTGCTCCCACCCAAGACTCACCCCTGCTCCTGTCTCCACAGGTGACACAGCTGGACCAGAGGCTGGTGCTCATCACGGACATGCTTCACCAGCTCCTCTCCTTGTACCATGGTGGCCCCCCAGGTGACCGCCCTCCCAGCGGGAGCGGGGTCCAGGTGGTTCAGCCCTGCAGTTCCATCAACCCCGAGCTCTTCCTGCCCAGCAACACCCTGCCCACCTACGAACAACTAACTGTGCCCCGCAGGGGTCCCGAAGAGGGGTCCTGATAGGGGCTTGGGGCCCCAGGCCTGCAAGGGAAGGTGCAGAGATGCCCTGTTCAGCCTGGCCCACCTCCCACCCAGCAGGGGCACCCCACTCCCCAGGTCACTGGCACCTTCCTCAAAGGCTCAAGAGACAAGCCCCTCCTTCCCAGGCCCCAGAGCCCCCCAGGGGCCAGGCCACCCTGAGAGCCCCAGCCAGTGGGTACTAGAACTTGACTGGGTCTGGGGGCCCCTCTCTGCTCTGAGACCATGGCTCCCCACCTCATTTGTATGGCAGTTGGGACACAGTGGCAGGGCTCAGTCTCAACCACCCCCCCCAGGGGGGCTGGCATCCTAGGCACTTGTTCCATCCCATGTATGGCCAAGAAACAGCACAGGTGCATGAAGGCCCACCTGGGTGGCCCAGGGGCTTCCTGAGTGGAGACAGAGGGACAGTCTGGACAGGGTCTATGGGTACCCCACCCCCAGGCTCGGACCCAGGACCCAGGGAGGAGGCAGGTAGGGCAGGGCAGGCCCAGCCCATGCCAAATCCAGGATGACCATAATCAAGGCCTAGAAGCCTCACTCAGAGGGCCCCGGGCCTGGGACGTGCTCTCCACTTGGCCGTGCTCTCCACTCTGCAGAGACACCGGCTCTGGGGGCCAGGACTGTGGGGGAGGGGACCCTGAGGCCACTGCTGTCCCCGAGGTGTCCACTGGGGGTGGAACGTCCCCCACTTTGGACTGGCAGCTTCTCCTGCCCACTGCCCCCTGCACGGCCCCCACCTCCACTCCACACCAGGTCTGAGCCGCTGAGAAGAATGGCCCCGGGCGGCTGCTGAGCGAAGGGGGCGCGTGGGTGTCACGATCCCCGCACAAGACAGGGGCTCCTCCTGGGCGTCATGTCTCACAGAAATCAGAATAATTTGTGGTGATTTGGAATCTGTGTTTTAATGAGTTTCACGGTGTGGTTTTGATTGTTAATTGTGGCGCTTTTCCTAATAAACGTGGAGTCACGGAGTCGGTGTCGGGCCAGCACTCACCCTGGTGACGGAGGGCATGGTCCGCCTTTGGGACACCCCGTCCTCCTGTCAAGCTGCCACCCTGCTTTCAACACTCCGGGGTGTCCTCGTTCTGTGTGCCATGGCCTGGGAAGGGGACAAAGACGGAGCCCCCAGCTCTCTGTGAGGAGGGTCTCCCACACTGGCCCAGAAGCATGTCGAGGCCAGGCCGTTACCGCCCCAGCCCCAGAGCCAGCACCCGGATCAGCTCTGTCCACAAGAGCTGAGCAGACAGAAGGAACATGGCCAGAAACACGGCCTGCCCGCCGGCCTTTGCTGGAATGTCCTTCCAGCCCTCACCTCCTCGTAGTGAAGTCACTTCTTTGGTCTATGGCCCAGCTCAAAGCCCCCTCCTGCAGCAAGCCCTCCCTGAAAGCCCCTCATGAGAAGCAGCCCTCCAGGCCTCGGGACCCCTCGAAGGGACAGGGCTGATGGACAAGATGGTGATGCCCAGAGACCAGCGCTGGGGGTGGAGCTCGGGGACCCTGTCCTGCAGGTACACGTCCCCCACACCAGCTCCACCCTCAGCTCCTGGGCCACAGGGTTGGTATGGACAGGACAGCACCCTAGTCTTCCTGCCCTCCCCTGCCTACCGACCTATGGACATCGGGGTGCCCCACCTCCTCCTGGGTCCATCTCTCTTCCCTTCCTGCCCAGTGGACAGGACTCCTACAGTGTCCAGGTGGCTGCCCATTTCACAGAGGAGGGGGCTGGTGTTCAGAGAGCTTGCTGAGGCCATGGATCCAGTCAGAAGCTCCGGCCCTGGTTGGCATGGCCCCAGTCGGGGCTATTGTAGCCCTGGAGCCTCCCCCTGGGGCAGCCCTTGCCACCCGCTATTGTCAAGATGTGGTCATTGCCTGTCTCCCAGCAGCCCTGAGCCCCTGGGGGTGGCGGGCACCTTGCCAGGACCCAGCATGCAGTCCAGGCCTGGCCTGGGTGGAGCTCCGGGTGCTGGGCAAGAGGGTAGCTGCCTCGGGGCACACACTCAGTCCTCTCCATCTGCCCCTCCTGGGCCAGGCTGGCCCTCAACCAAGGACCCAGAAGCCCTCCTATGGCACTGGGACATGTCCTGAAACCCACCAGGAGCTCAGGGAGCACAGACTGGATCCCTCCTGGGGCAGGTGCAGGGAATGGTTGGGGCTCCAAGGGCCCAACACGGACCTGTCTGCCCCCTCACAGGCCTTTATTTCCTCCATCAGTAACACGGTGCTCACTTGGGCCTGCCCAGCTTCAAGCAGGCTGGAGACACATGCGGGCGGGACCCACTTGTCTTCACCGTGCCCCATGGGTGCCCACCGCCTTCTGCATGCCCCCCCAGCAAGTCCTCCACTTCATCTGACAGATGCAGGCACGCTCGGCCAGGTGGGGGGATGGCTAAGTCCGCTGAACACACCTGACTGTTCCTCCATCCTCTGGGACCACTTCACCCTCCCGTTTCCCTTCCAGAGCCCACCCACGTTCCCACGCCGGCAGGGCTGGGACGGCTGACATAGAGAGGACCGACTGTCCCAAGGCCACTGGAAGCAGCTGGCGGCCAGTGTCAGGACGGGCAACCCAGGTTTCTGACGGAGCAGGCGGGGAGGGCCCCAGGTCCCGCTATGCTGAGCCCCACTGGGCCGGCGCCCCCCGGGGGCTCCCACTGTGGGGACTGGGTATCCGGCCTGAGCGGCGCTGGCCAGGGCAGGGAAGGACAGGAGGGGCGGCGCAGAGCCCGGGGCCTCCCCCCCACCGCCTGCACCCACCGGGGGAGGGCAGCCAGCAACAATTACTGGAAAGGCAAAAGCTGTTGTTTCCTTGTTGGGTAAATATTTGTGGAAACCCCAGGAAGCGGCTGGCTGCAGAGCAGGGCCCTCAGCGGCTCCCTGGGGCCCCCGGCCCCCCGCAGCCCCGGCACCCTGGCCCCCAGCCCCCGGGGCCCTCGGTGCGCTCCGGCTGGGGCCGCCCATCTGGGCAGGGCACGGCCCCTGCACCCAGCCCGGCTTTGTTTCCCGTATTATCGACTGCACACAAAGTGCCTGAGTGCTTCACTCCTGGACGGGCCATTGCGGCCTTCTCGGGTGTGAAATGCAATTTACCTGAAATAAAGCCCAATTATGGAATTAGCTAATTAAAGCCCGCGGTGGAGGCTGGGCCGGCCGGCCGGGCGCTCAATGCCCGCCCGGTGCCCGCGGTCTGCGGGAACAGATGGCGCCCCGGCCCGCCGTGCCGGCCGCATTCCTTCACTCTGCCCCCCGATAAGTGACTTAGACAGCACACGGCCATCTGGTGTATGACACGTCCTGTGTGCCCCGGACAATGGCCCAGCAGACCTCTCCGGGAGAGGGCCGTCGCCCGGGCAACGGTGGCAAGTGCAGCCTGGGCCGTTCACGCCCCCTCCCCCAGCCCCTTTGTGGGCCTCGCGGCGGCCGCCTGGCCCTCACTGCTCGCGGTGTCCATGAGTATTTGTCCGCAGTGCCCGGCCTTTGTCTCCAAATTGGGCTCCCTCAGTGAGGTGCTCAGTGTCCGATGGGTGCTGGGAGCATCTGCCGGGGTAGCAGGTTGGGGCGGCCGGGGGTCTCCCCATCCTGGGCCCCAGTGCCCCTCCCCTGGCTGTGCTCTCGGGAGCCGGCCCTCTCCCGGATGGCACCTCTCGGGCGCTGGGCTTGGCCGCAGGGGCTGGTGTCTGAGGCCCGTGTCAGCCCAACCCGGGACTCTCCTGGTCTTTGGGCAAGGGGCCGGAAGCTAGGGGGGCGAGGGTAGAATAGGCCCACACTCCTACTACCCCGTGTCTGTGAAATGGGAATGGTGAAGGTGCCCCTCAAAGGGGTGTGGGGGTGGGGCTGATGGAGATAAGACATGGGGGCTCTGGGCCCAGGTCGGCACTCAGTAGGTGCTTAATAAAGGCAGCCAGACAAACAGCCTAGGAGATGCCTGGGTGCTGGGCTCTACCCACCTGCCTGAGCCGCATGAGCCCTCAGAGCAGCTTCCCGGACCCTCCTGCCTCACATCCAGGCCCCTGCCAGAAGCCAGAGCAAGCTGTCGGCGGGCCCAGCAGGTTGGCCCGTGAGGCCCTGTGAGCTGCAGCCCTGCCCACCCCCCAATGGCATTTCTCCCTGAGAGCCCCCAGTCTCTGGCCAGGCCCACATCCTGCTTATTGCTGTGTCAGGCCCCAAGCTGCCAGGGAGCACGGCAGCACCCACCGGGCTGGGGTCAGGAGCAGTGCCCACCAGCAGGGCCACTGGACTCCCAGACCACAAGGAGAGGTCAGACCCCAGAAGCCTGGCACTGGGTACTCAGGAAGGGCTAGTTAAATGAAGGTTTGGAGGGGCACCTGGGTGGCTCAGTAGTTGAGCATCTGACTTCAGCTCAGGGTGTGACCCCGGGGTCCCGGGATCGAGTCCCACATCGGGCTCCCTGCGAGGAGCCTGCTTCTCCCTCTGCCTGTGTCTCTGCCTCTCTCTCTGTGTCTCTCATGAATAAATAAATAAAATCTAAAAAAAAAAACCACAAAAAAATGAAGGTTTGGAAAGAAGCTACTGGCACTGTGGGGGGAGGGCTGCATGGCAGGGCATGGGAGGGCACCGCCAGCCTGTGCCACCTGAGGGATGCATGGGGTAGGGGAGTCTACCACCCTATGCCCTGAAGAAATCAGGCAGGTGTTTTGACTGGCATGGCCAGACAGCTGGGGTGGGAGATAGGGTGGCAAAAGGCAGATGTGGCCAGGGATCCTGGGATGGCCCCCCACACAACCCCAAGACAGCGTCCTCCTGTGGGAGTCTGGGGATGGGGGTCACATGGAGGGATGGAGACCTCCCTTCATGCAGCCAGTCTCCCTGGTTGGGGGCCCTTCCCAGCTCGCTGGAAACCCACCTGCTCCAACGCCCTGGTTTCATTCCAGGACCACCTCCGAGCCCTGGGTCCCAGTGGCTCCCTGGAGGTCTGAAAAGGTGTTTCAACCTCACCATTCTCAGCCCCCTACGGCAGCCCCCTCCTGGGTCTGGCCCAGTCCCTGTTGCCCCTGAGGCCCTGGGGTCCCTGGCAGCTGGGCCTGCAGCATGCTTGTCCACAGAGCTGGACAGAATTCCAGTTTCCCTTGACCTCTGAGTGCCAGGAGCCCGGGGATAGGGCCTTCTGCAGCCAACAGCCCCCACCTGGGCCCTTTCCAAGCCATCGTGCAGCAGGGCGCTGGCGGGTGGGCAAAGCAGGTCCTGCCGCCAGGCAGCACGGAAGCCCCAGGCAGGCAACCTCCGACCTCCCTGGCCAGCTGCTGTTTTTTCACCTGCTCAATTGGGGAGTTACCTCCAGCTCCAGCCCACCAGGCCTGGGCGGAGGCTGGGCTAGGGGCTGTCAGCACAGTGGTCTGTCTGCCAAGCCAAGGCCCCTGAGGCTGGAGCACCACCCCTCCCACTAGGTCCCTCCGTGACCTCCTTTGGCCCTCCTGTCGGCACCCCTGTGAGGCACCAGGATGGGGACCATCCTGCTGTCTGTCGGATCTGGCCTCCTGCTTCCTCAGGTTGCAGAGGTAGAGCCCCCTACCCCCTGTCAAGATCGAGTGGACAGTGTGTCGCTGGGACACCACAATGACTCCCACCTGCCCACGTCTCTGAACCCCCCCACACCCTCTCCTCTCCCCTCCCACCCAGCCCCCTCCACACCCTGCTCGGTGAAATTATCTCCCGGTTTCTAGCCTGTAGGAAGCGTGTGATCTTTCTGAGCAGCATCAAAGCAGGGGCCCGGGCTGCCTGGATCAATCATGCCGGCAGCCGTCTTCCTGCCTGGCTCCCGCCCCAGGAAGCCGGTAGGATGTTGCAAAACACACAGTGAGGGAGTCCCAGGGATGCTCCTGGGGTGCAGAGATGGTACTGCGGGGAGGCAGACACTCAGAGCAGAGCAGCCTCGGGGCCCACATGGGTCCTCCCTGCCTGGTACAGAGTTCCAGGCCAGAGCTGGCCCAACGTGACACCTATTTGTG